ACTAGGAGTGTAACGATATCCAATTTTAACAATACGATATCGTCACGGTATGAACCTCTCAGTACGATATTTATTGCGATATCATGGGAAAGCTCTATATGGTGGGGAGGCTCACGATTAGGGATGTAACAATATCCAAATCTCTCTGTATGATATTTTCACGATATTTATCTCACTGTACGATATTTATTACGATATTTTGTGAAGGCAAACAAAACTGTGAATATGCTACTTTCTTCTCTTAAAATGCTTTGACAAAACTTAATCAAAAGAACTAAAGACTTAAAAGTGCTTAGAACTGTTATTTCTTCATGTAGTTTACACTGCAACGGAGCAAAGGATCATGGTCTATGTAGTTCCCTCTGTCTTATTTAGCTTTTGCTGCACTATAACGCTTAATTTAAGCAAAGAGACTTGTAATTCGATATATTGTAAGAGTCCACGATATTATTGTGAGAAATTTTATGATACAATATCACGAGATTTTGGTTATTGTTACATCCTTATTAATTACTGTTTTCATTGTTTAAAACTTGAGTAATATTATTGTTCAGAGACACGATCAGTCAGTCAACAATAACATATCCTCATTCATGTTCAATAATGGTCAAATCCACCTTTGTTTTGTGATTATAAAGTTTGGGAAACAGTGTCATAGATTATAAGTATGTAGCAGACACAAGCTCAATATGTCTGCTTTAAGGTTAAGCAAGTAATTATAACGAAGGTTAGGATCAGTCTCTGGGAAATTATAAGTCAATATGGATTCAGTAGTGTACATTTATTTTATTGGCAAATGTCAAGCTCTGGGGACTGCAGAAATGAACAACTTTGCTATAACCTGGGATAGAGACTGTTTTTTATTGAGTAACATTTATAAGTTTATAAATTCAGAACGCAGCAGCAGAAGCACCATCAGATTCAGCTTTTAAATCACTTCTTAAAATGCATTTTTATCGGTTGGCCTTCCTTTATTTTATTTATTTTGGTTTTATTTTATTACTTTATTTATTATTATTTATAAGTGCATTGTCGTGATAAATAAATAAATCATTCTCTTCAATGTCATCATCAAATGCAGGTCCTGGTGTTGCTGCCGCTCTGAGCTCCTCGCTGCAGCACGGGAGCCATATTGGAGCTGTACTGTGGAGAAGTGAAGGCTCTAGATGTGTGTTTGTTTCTGTGAAGGCTAATCTAATCCAAACAGACCTCCTCCTCATCCCAATCGCACATTTTCTCTCCTCTTCCTCCACTCCTGCTCTTTCGCTTTTTCTCCCTCGACTCCCTCTGTATCTCTCTTCCTCTTCGTCTGTCCGTGCTGCTGTTCTCCCCTGTTTCTCTCTATTTGCCTGTCTCTATCCCCTTCCCTCTCTTTCTCCTTCTCTTCATCTTCCCTATCAGTGCCTCCCCCCTCTCTCCCTCAGCTCTTCATCCTCCATTCTAATCTGGTTTCCTCCCTCTTTTCTTGCTCCCTCGTTCTCCTTCTTGCTCCTTTTGTCTCTCTCTCCCTCTGTCTTTCTCTCTTTTCTTTAGCCTTTACTTCTCTCCCTGTCTCTTCGGATCTCTCTCACTGTATTGCCCTTCCTTTCTCTCTCTCTTTCTTTCTTCCCCTCTCCATCAATCTTTATCACTCTCTCCCAGCTTTCCCTCTGTCTTCTTTCTTTTTCTCTCTGCCCCATCTCGCTCAATTTCTCTCCCTCTCTTCCGCTCACTTTTTCTCCCTCTCTTTCTTTCTCTCTCTACCTAATCTTCATTTTCTGTACCCTCTATCTTCTCATTCCCATGTCTCTCTCTCTTTCTCTGTATCTCTCCTTCTCTCTTCTCCTCTCTCACATGCTAACCTTTCTCCTCCTCTTTCTCGCTCTCTCTCCCTCTCTCCTTCTCCTCCTCCTATCTTACACACTAACCCCTCTCTCCATTTCTCCGCTCTCTCTCTCTCTTTTTTTCTACTCTGTAGCGCTAAAGCTGCTGCCGCGGCCGACTCCGCTGCTACACACAGCTCCCTGTATCCTATGCGTCGTCAAGGGAACGCCGGACCGTCTCCATGGCAACAGGCGGCTAATGAAGCGGTTGCTGTGGCGACGGGGGGTTCGGCTGTGCAGCATGCAGAAAAAAAGTGAAAAAAAAAAAAAAAAACAGCAGCAGCATATAGGAAGAGAGAGGGAGAGAGAGGAGGAGTGAGTGGAAAAGAAGGAGAGAGGAGCTAAAGCGCTGACTAAGGAGAATTAATGACAGACCTAAAGGTACACTATGTAACTTTTCTGGTGTTTCAGCTGCTTGTCTCCATGGAGATGTTAATGTTTTGACTGAAATGTTCCTCCGTGTGGTATTAAACATACTAATTTCCATGGAGACAAGCTGGTGATGGTTAAGTTACAGGCCAAAGTGATGGTGAGGCAAGCCTGCTCACAGTAATGCCTGTTTTTGGGATATAAGATATGTAAGATATATAAGATATAATAGAGCAATACATTGAAATTACATTGAATAAATGCAAGCTTTTATAGTTTATTTTACATTCAATAGCAACTCCAAGGAGGCAAGAATGTGGCAGAGCACTCCCCAGGAAAGTTACATAGTGCACTTTTAAATAGGCCTACTACTTTCACTATAGATCACAGGTGTCAAACATACGGCCCGGGGGCCAGATCCGGCCCTCCAAGATCTTTAATGTGGCCCACGGCTGATTTTCTACTAAAATATTTTAATTATATTTCTTATTAAAATATTGGTAATTTTCTGTGGTGTTTATCACAGCAGCGTCTCCAGCGTCTCTGTGTGTGGCACCTCCCACCAGAGCAGCACAAATGAAGACTTGTGTCTTTTCAAACGCTCTTAAAGGACGATCGTTTTGACTGTTGACCGTGACAGCCTCATCAGAAAAATGTCCAACATGAGAAAAGTGGACGCCAAGTGCAGGATTTTGCAACAAAAATGGACTTATTCCTATTTACATACAAGTTCATGTTAAAACATTTTGTTGAAATTATATTTTTCTTAAAGTTTCAGGTTGTTCATAATATAATATTTTGTAAAAAAAAAAAAAAAAAAAAAGAGTTCATCAATTAAAAAAGATTTCTGTAATAGATTTGTGTTTCTCTGCACAAATATTTTAACTTATTGTTATTTTTGGGGTTTATATGACATGAGTTTTCTGATCCGGCCCCTTTGGATCAAAGTCGGTTGGATTCGGCCCCCGGACCAAAATGAGTTTGACACCCCTGCTATAGATAAATGCAACACTTCTATCCAAACTAGAAATAATAAAAGCCAGATGCAGAGAGGGTCTCATATTTGACTGTGTGGAGCTTCCATGTTTGCCCGTGTCTGGGTTTGTTTTTTTCTGGTACTCAGAGCTCCCTAACAAGAAAACAACACAAAGGATTTGATTGTACCTATTATATGCATTTATTTATCACTAATTAGACAATGCTTTCTTTCCTCTCTAACACACTGTATGAGCTGCGTTTTCTTTTTTTCCTCACTAATTGGTTGTTTTCACATTCTAGTCTGTGATGATGTCATGCTCCCAGATGGGGGCAAGGGCCAGTTTTCCCTGTTGATAACATTGTGCTTAGCCATGAAATATCCAAAAGGTAAATTCACAGTTGTTGAACCTGGTATTTACTCAGTTACTGAGTAAACACTAGAACTCATCGTATTACAACATAATTTAGTATTTTAACAATATTACTTTTAGCATAATCAAGTTCCACTCATTATAGAAAAGTAATTACTTTTCTATAATGAGTAATAACCAAATGAAGTAGTAGCCTAAGTGTACTAGAATCAGTTACTGAAAACTCTAAATGAGTATTTTTTGGTACATGTATTTAGTTACTTCTCAGAACTGCTTATAAATGTGCATGTTAAAGCTCCTGGATTAGGCAGTAAACATGGCTGTAAGGCTTTATCTGGGGCAGGCTTTGCGTTTGAAATGTCTCCCTCTGCTGGACACGTCCCAACTCTGCAGTCTTAACTTCTGGCTGTAAGTAAGTTATTAGGAAATGTAGTTGTTTTAAAGTTCCTTCAATCCAAACCCATAGAATTGGCAGGCAGCGTTTGAAAAACCATACAAGAAGCTTACTTAGCAAAAACAATTGTCTTTAGGCTATTGCTTATGTGATAATGGCTAATTACTACAGAATGCTAATCACTACGGCGCTAATATTGCACATGGTTTGTTTACAGCTAAAGCTAACTGTGTATAAATGCTTATGGTCTGTTGTTGTCTTGTTAAATGGATTTGCAGGTTCAACATTTGCCATTTACTAAAGTCTACATGTGACAGAAGATTTATGTTCACATTATTAAATGAGTTGAACATTTGTGTTTCTTGGATGTTAGCTTTCATCTTACTCTTACAATTACTCTTGAGTAGCAGTTTTCCTAATTACTACCATAACTTCATTTTTGGAACACTATTCTGTACCTCTACTTAAGATAGTATTATTTTAAAGTAACAGTACATTAACTTAATTATAATTTTTGGCTTCTCCACCTCTGCATAATTGCTGCAGGATTGCTTATAATTAATTAAGTCATACACATCAGTACTTTCAGTACTTCTTTGGATACAAATGTGCTTGTTTGCAAGCATTAATACAGTTTTTCCTCAGACTGTGGTGTATGTACCTCTGGTGGTACTCAGACAGTTCTTCAGTTTGTGGGTTTGCCTCATTTATAGTACATTTTATACTTTTTTGTCCTCGTTTGGATACTTCTTTGTTTAGAACTACAGTGGAAATGATGGACCATTTCTGACCAGGTTTAGCCTAGATTAGACTTGGAATAGTCCTGTTATAGACCTGGTTTAGATCTAGTGAGTTAGACAACAAGGAAAGCCAAAATCATTTATTTGGTGTAACTTTGTGTGAAATGATTGAGAACCACTAAAAGCCTACAAACTCCTATTTATTTACATGGTATTCCTTCTCTCCTCTTCTCCCTACCCCCCCTTCCTCTCCTTCCTTGTCTCCCTCTCTCCCTCCCTCTCATAGAAGTGTCTCCGGTTTAACCCTGATGCCACAGTGTGGAAGGCCAAACAGCAGGTCCTGTGCTCCCTCACAGAGTCACTCAGAGACGTCCTGAACTACGGCCTGTTCCAGCCCGCTACAGACGGACATGACGCCAAGTTCCTGGAGGAAGAGCGCCCCCTAAGAGAATACCCACAATCCTTTGAGAAGGGAGTGCCATATCTGGAGGTAGGTAGCTGCCAAAATGTAGTGGAGATAATCAAGGCTTGAGATCAATAGCCAATTTGGGATAGAAATTTGCAAGTAAAGCTGCACTACTTTTCTGGTCTGCTCCTTCTTTGTCTCCAGTGAGATTTTATTGCTTTATCTGGTTCCAAAGTACGGCATTAAATGTATTTATCATATATTAATTCAATTTGTTGTTAAAAATACCTTGGAAAACATGCAGTCTTTCTTTAACAACTCCTTGCTAACTCCTTGTCTCCATGGAGACAGACCACACCAATAATACCATACTATGGAACTTTCAAGGGCAATGAACAATAACATAATCACAGATGTGGCGGACCCTCCACTACAAAACTTATATAGTTCAACTTTAAGTATTAGCTCCAGGAGTTGTTTTACTATTACATTAGCAGTAGTAACTTTGCTCTTTCACTTCTATTTGAGTTATTTACTTTTTAAAAACTTTTTACATTAGTTTTAGTATAAAGTTGGTAGTTTTTCTTCCTCCTCTCACTGTCCAGTACCATTTGTTTTTTGGGGGTTTTATTGGGTATATTTATCTTTATATTTCAGAACTAGGCCAAAGTCTGTTTAAATCCAGGACAGTCTAATTTAACCCTGCGTTTTGTCTCTGTCTCTGTGCGAAGTTTCGGTACAAAACCAGAGTTTATAAACAGACCAATCTGGATGAGAAGCAACTGGCCAAACTGCACACCAAGGTATGCTAATGTTTGCTATTTGTGTGTTTTGTATTAAACAGTATGTGTAAATGGACTTAATTCTAATGGGGTTGTCAAAAAAATAAAACAGGATCTAATTTGTACTAACACTACTACTGGAGCTAGATATCATACCCACTAGTATAACACACTAGTATACATACTGAAAAAATCTGAAAAATACAAACAAAGTTGGACCTATCCTGAATACTTGCAGAGGATATTGATCTATGATACGTCTATTTTTTGTGTTGAAAATGACTTTATATTATAAAAAAATAAACATCTCAAAGTGACCATGTTCTTCTTATCCTATATTTGTACATTAGCCACAAGGTGGTGCTAATAGGTCGTCTGTTATATCCATTTAATGTGAACCACCTTCATAAAAAAAGCCAATACTTTTTTATTCAGTTATAATTGAATCGTTACAAAGCATAACCAACCAATGTTATACTTATAAAATGCAAATTTTCATGCATAACTTTCATATAACTTACCTTTCATTTGTCCATCCTCAGGCCAGCCTGAAGAAATTCATGGACTACATTCAGACCAGTGCTGTCGATAAAATGGGAAAGTTTTTGGACAAAGGCCTGGATCCAAACTATCAGGACGCAGACACTGGAGGTGAGTTTTACATTATCCTTTATGAAGAGGTGGAAGATACATTGAAACATTTATGTTCAAATAAAGCAGGAGCCAAGAGGGATTCTTATGAGTTTGTGAACTCACAAATATTGTGAGAATCCATCTTACTGCTCTAATATTTAAGTCATTTCAGAATATTGTCATGGTGATAATCGAAATAATAACTGATATATACATTTTTGTCGTCCTCCCTCAATTTTTTTTTTTTTAACATTTTTTATTGTAAATCAAAACCTTCTCCTTTTCTACACCTAATCTGACATGCGTCTCCCCCTCTCAGAGACACCCCTGTCCCTGGCCGTGCAGTGTGAGCCAGGGGGAGGAGAGTCCATCCGAGTCCTGGTGGAGAACGGAGCCCACATCGACTTCAGAGCCAAAGACGGACTCACTCCTCTGCACAAGGCTGTCCGCGGCCACCGCCATACTGCCCTCCTGGTACAGCAAATATTTTATTGGAATTTCTGTTTAACTGTCAGATTTCAGATTTGTGGACCTGGTTTATGGTTCATATCTCTGTAATTACTGAGCCTGTCCACACAAAACAAAAACTGGCACAAAGTTCAGCATCTTCTCTGTCAGTTTAAATAAACAAAAGTCAAATGATTCTCACAGTTGCTACAGAAAGTAGTGCCATTATTCAACCCCAAATACAGTACGTGACTGTTGTTAGTAAAAGGGCCCATATCACGCAAAATAACTCTTTTCATATTGTATCTTATGCACATATACAAGCACAATTTGGGTTTTGGAACATCCATTACACAATAGTTATGAAATCTTACTGATTTCTTGGAGGCAGTCACAGACCAGGAACTATGAAAGGCAGGCTATTGCTCATCCCCCGCCCGTCCTGAGAAAGTGAAGCGCCTTCTGCTACGTCAAATGCGTCATAGGTGTAGCTGGCCGCGTTATTGTTGTAGCAGGCTTTAGTTTGTTGTCACGTGGGAGGGTGGCAGAAATATGCTGCAATTTGTTAAAAAAAACAACAAATCAATCTAAAAAACACTTCAGCTACATATACAAGGCCCACACTTAACTCTTAGAAGGTAGAAAGATCTGAAAAGTTGATTTTGCATGAGATGGGCCCTTTAAAGGACTTAATGCCATGAGGTTGTGGAGCCAATTCAATAAAAAAAACATTTGTGGATCTTAAGTTTGGATATTTCTCTCAAAAGAACTTGAATATCCCATAGTTAGACAATATTGAATTCTCAAGTTTTTGGTAATCTAAATAAAACATTAAAAAGGCTATGCTGACCACTCTCATGCTGCAATAGTTTTCTTTTTACCAACAGATAATAATTTTTGTCCATGTATTTCCAGGTGCTTCTGTCTCTGGGAGCGTCTCCAGACTACAAGGACCGGCGAGGGCTCACACCACTGTACCACACTGTGCTGACAGGGGGCGACACCTCCTGCTGCGAAACACTGCTGTACCACAGAGCCAAACTGGGCATCAGGGACGAGAACGGCTGGGATGAGACACATCAGGTACAAAAAATGTATTTTAATGCATTAATGTAAAGAGGCACTATGTAACCTTTCTGGAAGAGGGCCTGATTGTCTCCATGGATTCGGGTTCTGGTTGATCAGTCGACAAACTCTAAATGGATATCACGCCAATAAAGGGAGAGATAAGCAGGTGGCAGATCCTCCAACAGAAAAAGTTACATACTGCACCTTTAAATTTTACAACATAAAAATTTGACATGTTAAAATATTGGACACATGCAATTCTATTTATGTCTGTTTGTCTTCATGCACCAGTATCTTGTGTTCCAGTGTCTGTTTGTCATGAAACTACATTACCCATCATCCTCTACTCCTCCATTCATCATGTGACCTCATCCTTTACACTGGAGTTAAAAAAAACAGGTATTCACCCTATTTCTGTCATCTCCAATGTCACAGATGTCTGAAGTGTTACCAGGCATAAGGATTCTTTCCTGATTTGAAGTATCTGGCAATAACGTAATTAAAATATGATATCCTTTAAATGGGGAAAGGTGGGAAGGAAATTCAGGAGGGGTTTTCTTCTAGAACTCGTGAATAATATGAAACAACATTTAACTGTGAAGATGCCTGTGTAAACCCTCAGTCGTCCAGTTGCCCAAGTTTTATTATTATTTTGTCCAGTTGACTTAATTTAATTTTAGTAGTACATAATACTCTAATTATTATTACGGATTTTAAATGTGCAGTATATTGTGTTCACTGTTGTATGCACAGTGAAGTTTCTGCCCTTGTTGTTATTATTGGCCTCAGAGTTTTCTCAGGTTCAAAGATGGTGTTAATTAAACGAGAGGTGTCACTTCTCAGCCCTCCTCCTGCCGCTTCCTGTTTCTCTTTCTCCTCCAACACATCCACGCTTCATTCCTCCTTTTCTGTCTCTCTCCTTCTCTCACTCTTTTCCACTCTCTCCACTCCTCTCTTTTTATATTAACTTAGTTCTTCTCTTCTTCTCAGGCCTGTCAAAATGGCAACTCTCAGCACTTGGAGCACCTCCTGTTTTATGGAGGGGACTCCACTTCCCAGAATGCCTCTGGAAACACTGCCTTGCACATCTGTGCTTTATACAATAAGGTAAATGTACAACACATGACACAAGAAATATGAGAAATAAACTATCTTCCCAGTGCTTTACTGTGTGTCAGATGGAGTTGTAGAGCCTCCTACTGGTGGATAAATTGTTCTGCATGTTCACTACCTATTAACTGGAGAAAAGATCTAGCCTTTTCTGAGTACCACCAGGTCTAAACCAGGTCTGTCACAGGACTATTTCAGGTCTAACCAGGTCTAAAAGTGGACTATATGATTTCCACTGTAGTTCTAAACAAGACATTATAAGAGACCTCCTTTAGATAAAATTGATAAAATTTACTCTTAATTAGACAAACCCACAAACTGAAGAGATGTCTAAGTACCACAGTTTGAGAAACACTGAGATAATGGATAAAGGTAATAATGAAGATGAGTATATGTCCTGCCTACAGTCTAATCCACTGAAATTGTCAATTCTCAAATACAACATAGACATACTGTACATGTTTTACAAACAATTCTAACACATGTTCACCTTTAGTAACTTCAGTCTGTAGTGTTTCGTTCTCACTCTGACACTCTGACTCTGTGTGCTGCAGGAAGGCTGTGCTCGAATCCTTTTGTACCGAGGAGCAAACAAAGACATGAAGAACAACAGCGGGCAGACTCCATTCCAGGTGATGGTGCCGTGGTACGCTGTGTAACTTAGAGATGTATACTGTTAGGTTTCATGTTTCAGGTTCACATTTATTTTGTCTCTTCCTGAAGAAATTTGGCTCAGATTAGGGGTCAGTAGCATTAACATAACATGCATAACAGAAAACAAAAACATGTAGAACAGGCTCTACACAATCAGTCCATGTTGTTAAAACATTTTATGGACTGGGGCATGAAAGTGTTAAAGGGCGTACAGTATATGCAGGATTCTTACATATTTCATACCTGTTCAAATTAGATATTGATTAAGTCACAATTCAAGTTTTTTTTTTTTTTGAGCTATGAAAGTTATTTATCTTTCAAAACTATGGTTAAAATTATTCCCACTTGTACCTTCTGTAGGTGGCTGTTATGTCCGGGCACTTTGAGCTGGGAGAGATCATCAAAAACCACAGGGACACTGATGTGGGTGAGTAGTAAATGGTATCTGTAGTTAGAACTCTCACTATTATTGTATGTATGTTCTTCAGCAAAATATCACACTTTAAATTGTCTTAATGTGACAGTTGTATGTGGAGTACAATGAAAATAATTCAGTAAAAATGCTCATGTAGAAAGTTCAAAAAAAGAGATGAGGATTGGTATAGGACTAAAACAGAGATAGAGTACAAATATACCAGCTAAAGCTGAAGCTGTCTTCCTTTTCTCAGTCCCTTTTGTGGAGTCCCCGAAGTACGCCCCCCAGAGGCGAGAGAGCAGCAGGACACTCACCATCCCCCCTCACCCTTTCCTCCGCGCCAACAGTGACAGCAGCATGAACCTGCCCGAGTGGATGGCAGTGCCCAACGCGCCCACCACCAACATCGTCTCTGTGCAGGTAACAAACAGAAATGTGTAGAATGTTTTCAGAATTAATTTACTCCAATTTTATAACAAAAATGACACAATTCCCCACACATATACAGTATAAACATTCAGAGATAGAGTGAATTACATAATGAAAAAAATTGCTTTCTTTTTGTTATATTCTACAAGTAATTACTAGGGATACTTATGATACTGATTTCACTACTATGGATTTAAATGTCTTTTAATACCTGGTAGAGACTGATAACAATGTAGAGACTGAAAATAGCTTTTATTTCCTTAAAACAAAAATGGAATAAAACAAAACTGATCCTGTTGTTGAAAACATTGCTTTGCAGGAATTAAAATACAATCCCCAATTTGAATTTCTTTCTTCTTTTTTGTTTTTTGTTTTTAACTCTAAACTACTCTTTCTGAGCACTTTAGCTATGAACATGAACTCAATTTAAGAAAAAAAGAGGAAATTAAATTAAATAAATAACTCATGTACTTCAAAATGTTTGAGTAGCTAATGAGGGTTTATCAAGTTTAAACATAGTGGAGCACTTCCTGTATTACCACACAACAAAGTGGAGCAGTGTTTTTCATTTAGGATAGGGATACAACCTAAATATGCCGGATTTGTGTGAATGAGGCAAAACACAACTCCAGGTACGTTTGTGATGAGGAAACAATTAGCCCTTTAATACATGTAAACCTTCTCCTATCTCTTTATCACATACTCACACAGCTTATGTCTCTGTACTGTGCAAAAGCAGAGGTGCGTAGACAAATTGGTCACTATTACACACTGAAGTTAATTACGTTCAGTGAGTAGAAAATAAATTATGCAGCTGCACATGAGTATCCAAGCGTGTAGTACCGCCATCGCTCATGTCATAAAATCACACATAGACTTACCACATGTTTAATATATGCTGTTTCTCTTATGTGTGTGAATGAGTCTCCAACACAGGCTTTTTGTGCTGGAGGAACCATTATAATGAATTATTGAAATGTGAAAAATGTGAAGCAGTGGACCACGGTGTAATGTCTAATTAAAGGCGTACAGTTTGAGCTCTTTGTATAACGGCAGTAATGGGCTTGTAAGTTGTAAGTAATTTCATACACATTTAGAAAGTAATTGTACTAGTATATACACATTTTATAATGAATTACTTGTTCAGTAGGACTGTGGGTTTGCTCACTTTATCAACTTTTTTGTCTTCCTTTGGATAATTTCCTGTTTTGAACTACAGTGGAAATGATGTACCCCTTTGGACCAGGTTTAGTCCTAGATTAGACCTGGAATAGTCCTGTTACAGACTTGGTTTAGTTCTAGTGGTACTCTGAAAGCCAGTTCTTTTCTTTGGTGGTACTGTGACTGAAGAGTTTGAGAGCCACTGACTTGAAGAGTTCACTCACCAACCCGAGCACTGTTGTTATGTCCTTAAGCAAGACACTCCAAGCTCCTTGCCTATGTATGAATGTGGTGTGGTGAATGACTAATCATGGAAAGGGCTGGCTGGCAGTAGTGGTAAACTACAGAAGTACAGAAGAACCTTACCCCCACTGAGTGTGGAGTGAATGAATAATGACTACAGTGAAGTGTTGCTGTAGTAGATATCATTATCCTATTATAGTAGTAGTATAGAAATATTGAACAACGAACTAAGAAATGCAGTTACATATTCATAAAAATTGTTAAGATCTAGTGAATGGTTAAATTACCTGTAAAAACCACATAATGCAGTATATCATATGATGTGTGGTCTGTCTCAGGGATATAAACACACCGGGACCCTGCGCAGCTCCAGCAGCCCCCGAGGAGCCAGGACCAGGTCTCCGTCCAGAGGCAGGATCCCAGACAAAGAGGACCGCAGCAGGCAGAGCCGAAGAGGAGGGTGAGGGACATTTAGAGCATTGATCTGTGAACAGGATGTGTCTTAAAACTTTTCAGGTAGAGAAACTGCCATGTAATTGTCTCCATGGAGATTTTACTTTTTTGCCTGGAATGTTCCACAGTATGCCAAAAATGTATATATCTTACATTCAGTAATTTTACAGGTGTTTTTATTGCTCAAAAATATTTTAAAAACATGCATTCTCATTGTCAGTGTAGTCGCCTATCCACAGATCTGACCTGTAACTTCATCTTGTGTTGTCGCTTATTTATTTTACTTTTTTTTTTTTATTGTTAAGATGAATGCCGTGCTGTAGAAAATTCCAGACATCTCCATGGAAACAAACAGTTGACAGACCCTCCACAAGAAGAATTACACAGTGGAACTATGTAACTTTTTGGTTGGGGATCCGTCACCTGCTTTTTTCTATGGATATGTTATTGCTCTGCCTGGAATGTTCATTAAACAGCCCTACTTTACATTTATTCAATTACAGGTGGGGTATAGCTCAAAAATACCTAGATCTCCTCTCCACAGATCTGACCTATAACTTGGTCTGGTTTGGTATCCATGAAAGTACAAATGTTTATGAAACATTCCAGACAAAGCAATAACATCTCCATGGAGAAAATAATTTGACGGACCTACCACCAGAAAAGTTACACAGTACACCTTTAAGCCCACCTTGAATTTCTTTAGTCAAGCACATTTCAAGTAAAAATACACTCTTCTCCTCTCTTGTGCCCCAGCCCTGCCCCTGCCCCCTCCTCCTCCTCGGGCGCGGGGCAAACGGCCGGTCAGCGCAGACGCCTGTACAGCGCCGTACCGGGGCGGATCTTTGTGGCCACTCGCTCTCACTCGGCTCAGGGCGAGAGAGAGATCAGCTTCAACAAAGGAGACCGGGTCAAAGGTCAGTATGTGTCTGTCATGGCATCACCGAGTATCACTGTGTTTTATCCGTAATGTCTTTGTAAATAAATGTAATAGATATCTTAGAGGACACACAACTTTGTAGAGATAAGAATAGAGAATACATTGTAAGCGTTTCACCTCAAATTAATTACAAATAAGATCGCATTTTGCCAAAATTTATCTCAAGTTTCAACATTTCTCATGAGCTCACAAAAAAGACAGACTAGAATAATCTGAAATTGGCACGTATAAGAGCACCAATGACACTTTAAGGTAGCAAATTTGTAAAATTTGTGTCCAAATGTTCATGCTATTGCCTACAAAGGGCAATATTTAGGGGTCATGCCATCTTTAGGGGAGTCCGAATGTCAAGTTGGTAAAAAAGTAATGCATGGAAAATTTCTCACAATGCACCTTGAAAAGTAGTGGGCATCAGTGGTCACTAGACTGGTCAATATAGACCACAATGCACTGTGAGAGTCAGGAAAACAATGGCGTTCAGCAACAGGTGTTTAACGGGACACAATCCGACTGAATGGAGCACACAAAAGCGTTGGTTCATGGTTCTATTGATCCCTGATTCTGAATAAAACACTCTTAATTAAAGTGTTATGGTGCAAAGGTGCGCTAGCTGCTTGCCTTTGCTCCAGCTGTTAAAAGAGTGAAAATTTCCACATCTCAGAAAAAAAGCAAATAATCCAGTCTGTTTGCGTGAGATGATTATTATTGATCCATAAACTCTTGTGTGCCAGCCTGATCTGATCATTATTTATGACAGAAATCGGAGTTTAGCTGACTTTTTTTCATCCAGACACCAGAGTCACGTCACCCAAAAGCAGTGAGATGTGTGTCTGAATCTCTCTGTGAATGAGTGAACTATAGGGGGTGCTAAAGAGTGTGGGCCTCTGTAGTGAATGAGAGGTTAGGGGCTAGGGTGGACATTCGGACACAGCCAATGGTTTATCATTAAAAAACAACTCAAATACAGAAGAAAGTTTAAGCTTGATAAACAGAGTAAAGTGGAGTAAAGGACTCAGTTGTAAGGGTTAAGGAGTTAAATAAGTCTTTTTGAGTGTCTCATTTGTAAAACCAAATTTTATTACCTGTGGCATTAAGTGTATATTTTGTATTTATTTAAGCTATGTACTTATTTCTTTAACTTATTTATGAATATGTTGGTTAGAATATTGTTATAGTAGTTTGCATGTAACTAGATAGTTTGGTAAAGGCATTCTTTCATTCTTTAAGACCCAGCTGTCTGTTATAGCTTGTGTAGATTTCTGTCTTCACTGTTCCACTGTTTCCTCTTTAGTCTGTAATACTGGAGCAGTGTGTGGGGTCCATATGTTTGACCATCTGCTCTCACCTGTGTCTCTGGCCCAGACCCAAACCCTTCTTTATAAACTCTATATAATGTGGAGGCTGCTGATGAGAGGGGGCCATTAGTAATGCAGTGAATTTAATCTATAGCTTTAATAATACCTTTTAGCTTTTAGCAAACTGAACTGGGAAGGAGTGTTACAAAAACAGCTCATCAGTGTAGAACATCTCCCTGCGTTATGGATGACAAAATTGCCGGCTGTCCAGTTTCACCATAGTTTTTAGTAATTAATTTAATGATCGCAATTAGTAAATCATAAAAATATATACCAGTATATTACATAATTTTCTCTGCACAAAAAATAAGAGTATTTCTTAGCCATAAAGTGAGTATGACAGCTTTTTTCCTCAAATTTTGACTTTATTTGGTGGGATAAAACCTGCTGTAAATGTAAATAATCAAGAAGCTATTTGCAAAGAAAAGTTGAAAAATTTTTGGAAATTTTCACAATAGGGCGAAATCTGTTTACAATTTACCCAAAAGAAACAAAATGTTCTTCTATTTTAAACATTATTTAAACAAAATAAAGGTGTTGTCCTGTATTTTTAGTTGTCAAATAATAATGTCTGTATAATAGTACATACTTTTTGTATTAGGAAATGTGCAGAGTGCTATAAAAACAGCAGAGGGCAGTAAAGATGATTGTTAATTCCTCCAACCTTTTTTTTTTTTTTTTTTTTTTTTTTTTACAAAACAATGTTATACACTAAAACATACATTACACCCACATAATAATACAACGTGAGTTTTATAATACTTGAAGAGAGGAGGTGCAAAATCAGTTGAGCAAACTTGAAGAGGCTTTAGGCTCTTGATACCCCACAGAAGTAAAATACCCCTTCTTTAAATATTTAGTTATAATGCCTAAAAAGAACAGTTGTAGCCAATGTTCCATGTATAAACAGGTGGTGGACCCTCCAACAGAAAAGTTACAAGTCAGGTCTGTGGAGAGCAAACCCCTCACAGCAAGGGTGAATGTTTCTGAAAGATTATTGGTGCAGTAAAAACACATGTAATGATATAAACACCTTTATTTAAGTTATTTCAGTCTATATTTTGCCTGAAATCTTATATTGTGGGACTTTAAATATTATTTTCATTGTTTAGAAATATATCAATTTAGTATTTTTTGCTTTTCCCATACAAATATCAATACTAAATCATAAATCAGATAATCTGTACTCTTTATTAGAGTTTTTTCTCACTTAGTACGTACTACTTGAGTAACATAATTTCATTTTTATTTTGTAACTGCCTTCTCCTCACCCATGGATCTATGCTCCTCTCTGCACCTGTCTCACCTTTCAGCCATAGCACGTGGTAGTTTGAGATGTATTCCCCTGTCTCCAAATTTATTCCTTTTACAAAATGTGAAATGACTTTCTTATTGGACTTGCAGGAATTTGTTAGGCTTGAACTAGAAAATATATATATGTTTAAAACGTTGCAAACTAAGGTCTATTTCTGTGTTTCTCAAACTGTGGTGCATGTAAATCTGGTGGAACATGGCGCCCTCCACAGTTTGTGTTTATTTTTGTCCTTTTTGGGTCAGTCACTACTTAGAAACAATTATAAAATCCATACTCTCTATTTGAATGTTCTTTTCAATAAATGATACTACTTGAGTCACAGTATTTCACTTGTATACTGTAACTGCCCTCTTCCTCGTCTCACCCATGGACCTATGCTAAAACCTGTCTCCCCCCTGCACCTGTCGCACCTGTCTCACCTGTCAGCCTTGCGTGTGGTAGTTTGAGGTCTGTCTCTGTCTGTGCCCATGTCTCCTGCAGGTATGAATCTGTGTGTGATTGTGAATGAGTCTAACTTGTCCACAGGTATGTATGCCTCGGTGAGTATGTAGCGCGTTAGCATGTCCCCGTCTTCTGTTCCATTCAGTTGTGTCTAATCAGTGTTTTTATTTATTTTTTGTTACATGCTGCAATAAAGAATGTCTAGATAAGTTAAACTGACTTGAATTCAGACTCTTGATTGGAGTAGTTTTGATCTGTTTAGATGTAATAATACTGATTACTTCATTTGTTGTAATGCTCGTGTTCAAAACAAAATGATCTAGCTATGATGGAATAAAAGCGCCTTCTTACATGCTAGACTTAGACTTAGACAAACTTTATTGATCCACAAGGGAAATTATTTGGACACAGTAGCTCACACATCACAATATAATATAATAACAAAGAGTAAAAAATATATATACATTGTAATAATTAGGGCTGGATATCAGAATTTGTTGATACGATACATACCTCGATACATAAGCCACGATATGATACGTATCTCAATACAGTGAGCTTACGATTTGATACAATTCAATACGATATATTTCAAATTGATTTGATATGGTTCAATAAAAAGTAAAGGCTAAATCATGGCTGTGATACTAAAAGTCTTGGTTAAACCACTTCTTGTGTAAAGTTAATATGAAACACACCCATTTTAATCTTAAAAACAGTGAAAATGTCAAATGTGCTGCATAAAAAAGTTTCCTTCCTCTGAACTAGCAACAAAACTGTAGTGCTGTAACAATGTAATTTAGTAAAATACACCAAAAAATACTCTTGGCAATATATCAATACAGCAACCCACAATATCGATACTGTATCATGTAAAATAAGACATAATTATATAAATGTATATGCACAAGTCAAAATAAAATAGAAAAAGAAGTAATAAAAAAAACTCAGCTATATACAAGAGGTCATATGATAAAGAGATCATTTTGCGTAGGATAATTAAATTAAAAGTCTTAAAAAGTTGGAAAGGTAAAATAATTTATTGTACTTAAGGTTTCGAAGTTGTGTCTATTTATTATGCATTATATTTGTTCTAGATATGACTGGTACTGGTGATATCGGGAATGGGTTCACATGGTTCATACATGATTGCAGAAGTAGTGTAGTAGTATTGTTATCGGCTAAATTTTCAGGCCAGTATTTACGTGGAGTTAATATGATTGACTGAGATTAGGGGGCAGGACCACGCCTCAGCCTCTGTCTGCTCCTCTCCGGCCAACCACAGCTCAGTTCAACCACGCCTTCGATTACCCAGAAGCCCTATTTATACAGGCCTACCCGACAACACCGCCTCCCTCCCACCCCATGTCTCTTGGGTCCTGAATTGGCTGGGCGACCACCTGAAACAGAGTTCCCAGCCATCACATCTATCCATCCTCAGTAAATATCGTATTCTGTTGTTGGGGCGTGGTCCTCACTAGTGACTCGACAAATGTTCTGAAATAGAAGAGCAAGGAATCTAAAGTGGTACCTGTATGTTTACACTATATGATATGCAGTGTCAGAGAAGTGTGTAGCGTTCATTTGCGAAAGTAATTACAACTTAACTTATGTGTTTTGTGGGCCTTGTACCTGAGTGTATAATGCTGAGATCAACATTGGTAAATATTGAGTATGGGCCATAACATCTTTATTTATACAGGAAAAGCACAATGAGAGTACCAGACTCTTTTTCATGAGTGTTCTGTTCAGACAATACAAACAAACAAAACCATAATTACAATTATATAGGCCTCTGTTGACATTGTTGATACACTGTATACTATAATAATAATAATTGTAGTATTTTGATCATTTTGATAATAATAGTTATTGTTATGTGGACTATACAGACTCTAAAACGCATATTAAAAGAAATGTTTATAATAAAATTGAGACATTATTAAATGATGTAAAAAAAAAAAAAAAAGTACAACAAGTAATCCCTGACTATTTTGCTACCAAAATAATTGTTAGTTGCAGCCCTAATGTTGAAACAATTAAGTCCAATCTAAACTTATCAAAAGTACTTAATATATATTCTGAATTCATGTCATTGTAACTCCTGTAGATGTCCTTTTTTGCAGTGTATATTTTCAGTTACAGTCTTTGTTTCTGTGGTTAAACTTCTGATTGACGCTGTGCCCTTTGGCCTGACACTTTCGCAGTGCTGAGCGTTGGAGAGGGGGGATACTGGGAGGGCACGGTCCGCGGCAGGACGGGCTGGTTCCCCTCAGACTGTGTGGAGGAGGTGTTGCTCAAACAGGACAACAGATCAGGTATGCTAAAGCTCACAAGCTAACATCACCTGTGATCAAACACGGACATTTAGATAAAGTAACACTGTGTCACTTTCTGGAGGTGGCATGTCACCTACATGATTCCATGGAAATAGATCATTAAAACTATACATTCTCATGGTGATAGATATGTCTTATGCCATACTGTTGAATATTATAGGAACAACATTTCTATGAAAACAAGCAGGTGGGCCCTCCCCCAGGCCAAATAAGAGTCAGGTTTGTGGAGATGAACGCTCACACATAGAAAGGATGCATGCTTATTTATCTTTTGGCCAAAGTGTTATACAGTGGGGCTTTAAAGAAAACACATTATATTGATCACATTTATATCACATTGTAGCACAATAATAGTATGGTAACAGAAAGGAAACGTTGTGATCCCTGGGATTGCAAGCAATACAAGCATTTTATATGTACTGGAAAGTGCTACTGTGTCTATGTAATTGCTTTTGTTTTTTTGCGTTTTCAGAAAGTCGAGGAGAAAGAGCCAAAAGATTATTCCGCCATTACACTGTGGGATCCTACGACAGCTTTGACGCACCAAGGTAGGACATGTTTTCAGAAGGAGACGAGATCCGCGTGTTCTCAGTCATCTCTGTTGATGACTGAAGGTGTGTGTTTGTGTTTGTTTGTGTGCGTGTCCCCTCATGTGGCAGGTCACTATAGGACAGTAGTGCAGACATCATGAGTCTATGCAGGTTGTTTTCACCAGTGACATTTAAGTTGTAGGCGATTTTATATTTGTTATTTTCTTTTATATCTCACGTCGGGAGAAGAATTTTCAAGACATGAATGTGTTTTTACCTGTGCACTGCTGCCTCTGTTCTACTGGCTCTTCGACCTCGTCCATTGTGCGACTGACGCCGCCAACGTTAACATGACGTTTACATCGCTCTTACTGCGCGCGTTTTGTGTGGGTTTCCGACAATGAATGGAATTACCGAAATAAAAAAATAAATAAATTTGTTTTTTTTTTGTGTGTGTTATTGTCCCAACAACACATAAAAACAGATTTTATAATAAAGCAACTCGCATACAGAAACAGTAAAGTTAGAGATTAAAAATGAGATTAACGCGATTAAAAAAACATAACGCGCTAAATATGACTGTAATTAATTCATCGCAATTAACGCGATAATTTGACACCCCTAATTGCGACCATCAAGTATTGTATTTTAGCCCATTCAGCTCTACACATCTTAGTCCCTGATGCTGTCTCTCTCTTTATATTAGGCCTGTCAAATACATTATCAATGGTGTTAAAGTAATCTTTGTAGTGATGAAGGTTGCTTTGACTCCAGGCGCGCTCATTTAAGGGTCCCAGCTTCGGTCTAAACAAACTGGATGTATTTACATGGAAACGCAGCCATTACAGTCCCATGTATTATTTAGCCCATAGACTGCTCCATAGTGGCACATTCACACATGATCATTTATTATTAACAGGCTCTCCGTCAGCGCTGACATTTCGTGCTAGTGTCGCTGTTAGCATTGGCGAGAATTCACATCATATGCTCGAACATGGTGCTAGCACACACGTCATGGATAATTAAAGCTGTGTGGAGACGCATGGACTGCAGCCGAATAAGCTACAACGATTATGGTATTTTCTGAAGTTGATCTGGGAATTAAATGTGAAAATAAGTAGGAAGGTAAAGATATCCAAATCTCTTTAACGATATGCATCTCATGGTATTATATTTTTAGCAATGTTTTTGTGGAGGTGAATATGCTACTTTTTTCATTTAAAGTTCTGTGACCAGCTGTTGGTTCTGTCATTGTCCAAATAATTAAGATATAAACATGAGTGATAACAGTTTCGCGTAGTCTGCACTGAAACTAAGCAAAGGATCATGGCCTATATACTGTAGTTCCCTCTGTTTTTTAGCTATTGCAGCACCATAACAATGAATTTAAGCAAAGAATCTTGACTTTCAATATATTGTGATGATCCACAATATTATTTTGAGACTTTTGACGATACGTTTTCATGGTATTTTGGTTATTGTTACATACCTAAAAATAAGCATAGGTTAGTGGGATAGCTGATCAGAAATATTGGTATTTGGTTGTTACTTTTGCAAATATACCTTCAAATGTATTTAATCCCTTGCATGTGTTTGAGTGTTACTAGTAGTTTTTCTAAAGTTGGTCTTAACACCTAAAAAGACAGAGAAAGTGAGTGCTTCAGGGTAACTTAATTCAACGTCCATAAAAAAGTCCAAGGCACTCTTATTGGAATCAGAATAAAAGTCCTGTGATGGTCCCATGTAACCATTAAAGGACTTTTTTTTTCTTTAACATAGTAAGTGATACTTGGTGATCTTCACTGTCACACGGGCTGAATTGGGGCTCATCTGTGTGTTCAAAATCACCACGCACACACGAGAGTCAGAAAAGTTTGGTGACAAAAGACTTGGACTTAAAAGCTAACTGTGCTAACGGTTTGGAAACATATTACAAACAAAACTTTCTGTTCCACCTTGTGATGTCATGTAGTAATACAGGAAGTGCTCTACTGTGTTTTAATCTCCATACACCTTCACTAGAATCATTTGACACATTTTATACTATCATGATATTGCCAACAAAGAGAATTGCCATTATATGTGTAGAAAAAATGCTCTTCACTAGGTTGTAGTTGTTTTGATTTATAACAAAATACAATTATATAAAAGTAGTTTAAGCATGGAACTCATAACATTGAAATTCAAATTATCCATAACATTTCTAAACTGTCAACAAATTTAATACCTATCGTGATGTAATCGTTAATTGTAATTATTTTGACCAGTTAATCATGTCATCAAATTTCAATATCGTCCCATACCTACTGCCTCCACCGGTAGGAAGACAGCTCCAAAACCTGTTTAAATCAGCTGACCAGTCATGTCGCAGCAACATCACGTGACCACACTGAAGAAGATCGCTAGTGAGCAGACGAAACTGTCAGGCTTGAAAACAAACTGAACTGAACTCTAAAAAGGTAATCCATTAGAATCTTCATGGATATCAGCCATCAAAAAATCCATGGCAGTTGATGTAAAGCAATTTTGAGCATCTGAGAAAGCCCTGTATCAGAGTAATGCATTATTATTGTACTGTTAACTGTCAGAAAAAGGCCTTCGTATCCCTTACTTTCTCTTCAAATCTTGGCATGTGGCTAAACAGGTCAAGAGCATTTCCCCCATAATTCCTTGCAGCGCCCCTCTCTGCTCCTCCTCCTCAATCTATTCATCAACGCTCCAGCGGTCTCCTGTACTTTTTAATTTTCCTCTCATCGCCCTCCATTCCCTGCGGTGACGCCATCTGGAGGTCAAAGCGTGAAGGGCACTTGGAAATCCAGGGTTTAAGACTGTAACATGGCCACAATTAATTTAAATATGGAACATGTAGGTAATAATATTGTTTTCCAGTTTGAGTTGAGGGGGTTGGGTCAATTATGGGACTATCTAGACTAGTGTCACGATACTAAAATTTCAAAGCAATTCAACTTCACTTTTTTTAGGCTTAAAGGTGCACTGTGTAACTTTTCTGGTGGAGGGTGTGTCAAATGCTTTTCTTCTTTGGAGATGTTATTGCTTTGTTTGATGTTTCATAGTATGGCACTGAACTTTTCTATCTTCATGGAGACCAAACTAGACCAAGCTACAGGGCAGATTTGTGGAGAGGCAACACCATAGCTCACAGTCAGAATGTCTGTTTTTCTAGTTGTTTTTGAGCTATAAAACCACCTGTAATTCAATAAATGTGAGGCAGAGCTGTTTAATGTCATACTGTGGAACATTCCAGCATAAGGAATGACATCTCCATAGAAACAAGCAGGTGACGGAGCCCCAACCAAAAAGTTACATAGTGCACTTTTAAGAACTAATTAAGGGGTTAGAGTTAGGAGTTAGGGTATTAAAGTTTGTAAGTCTGAATCACTCCTAATAAACTCTTTGTTCATTATGATTTAGGTCTTTGTTCATGTTTTATTAAGGCATGAATAAGTGTAGTTATTATAAAGTGTTACTGTGTCTCTTAATATTACCATGTGATCTTAAGTTCTAAAGACCCTTCCAAAACTATTCAGGAGCAGTCCAGTTTTGTCCAATTTATGTGATTCTTTTCAGTATTGATTAGAGATAGTACAAGATCTCGTATCACAGGGTCTCGTGGGACAAAATTGCCATAAAATTCTGCACACATGACAGAAATGATCTTGTGAGATTTTTTTCCCCCTGAATTTACCTTTGGCTTGGACAAAAAAGACTTAAGAGCTGGTGAGTTATACAGTTTAAAAAGCTGTAGTTCCAAAAAGCAGTAGTAGAATGGCTGCTAAAGTATTACATCAAAAAAATGTAAAAAGTGAAGCCAAAATTGTGAAATGGATTGCAGTACTTATTTATTACAAATTATGTCAAAGTCTTGTCTTGTCGTGGAGTATCTTGTCTTGAGAAAATTATGTCTCATCCCACCCCTAGTATCGATATGTCAAATAAGTATTTGATACTAGTTAAAGTGTCAATTAGTATCTGAGTTTAAACATCTTGACCAACAATCCCAGACTAAGCATTCTGCAGAAAAAGATATTTGCTCTTAACAAAACTTGGTGGTTAAATCCTCGCTGTGTGTATAGTGTTGTTGTGTCTTTGGGCATGACACTTTGCCCATTATCCCTCAAGTGCATTTCAGAAGATGTTTGTAAATGCCTAAATATTGAGTCATCAGATTGTTGTTGTTTTTAAATATAGTGAGACTTGATATTTGGTTGTTTGCAAATGAAATGACGTTACTTCACTAAATGCAGTCTTTGCTGTTACGTCAGATCTTGCTGCTGTATTTAGGACCTTATTATTGATTTTACATTTTGTATAAACAGAGAGCCAGCATGTGTGTCTTTATTCATTTTCGACTACGGTACATGACAAAGCGTGACATTATAACAGAGTGACTGTCTGTGAGCGCTGACAGGATTCATAATCAGACTGGACTCACTGCTCTAACAATTAACAGCAACACTAATTAGTCAATGCAGCTAAATCATACTCTTTCTGCATGTCTGATTTAGTCATTTCTTTAAAGCTGCACTGGTGGCTTTCTTACCTTCTTGTTTCCATGGAGATGTTATGGCTTGGCTTGGATTGTTTATAGTATGGTATCAAACATATGTGTCTTTTTTCATCAGTTGGTGTTTGTTCGGAAGTGACTTTCAAACATGCATTCTTACTGTGAGTTCGGTCACCTCTCCACAGATCTGACTTGTAACTTGGCCTACTGCTTGTCTCCATAAAAAAACATTGAAACAAACACTGCAACGTTGCATTCCCTCCACCAAAAAAGTTACTCAGTGCACCTTTAAATAATACTTTTAAATAAGTCCTATATTATTTGTTTAGACAGAAGTTCCAGTTTTAACCTCCTTTAATGTTCAAATACAGAGTTAGACTTCAATAATATTTAGGAAAAGCTTTGACCACAGACAGATGCTACTTTTTTGGACAAATGTTTTTTTGTTTCATATGTACAAAATCCATTCATTTCTTAATCAAACTAAAATGGC